CAGGCAGACTGATTCCTCCTGTTTGTACCATAGCTCCCTTTTGCACAATTAGAAGTGGAACTCTCATATGTTATGTTTAGAGCAGTCTGTATTATACAAGGGAATACATCTGTCACAATGTATGTTCCCTACAGAGGACTTTAGTAAGTAGAGGGCAGAAGGCCATCACTGATCTAACTTTTTCCAGTAAGCTGTGAAGGTTTGCGATCCTCTTGATAGTTGTTCAGCATTGTTCCTGCTTCTGGTTGCAAATACCCTACAGTAACATCTGCTGTCATCTATGAATTTGTGTGTCGTTCCTGGGAAAGTTTAATCAACTGGCCGGGAAGAACTCAACTTGGCTGTCTAAGCTGATCATTTACATTTTAACCTCTCTGTAGCCATATTCATTTACAGGATGAGTAAAATGGGGACAGAAAAGGAAATTATTGGGGATTTGTAAGGCCGTGGACACTTAATTCACTTATTTTGGGAAGGAATATGGGAAAGTCTGGTCACTCACCTTCAGGAGTTACAGTACAATTTAAGTGCTGTTTAGGAGGTGGAATAGTCATATGAAAATGTACAGAGTGCTAGAGTATGGTAAGCATTTAAATGCATCTGAAAAGTGGCTTAAAACATGTTCAACATCAGCACCATTCTGTTCTAGAACATATGTATGTGGAAGAAAACTGCAGTCTTAAATGGTGAGTGCAAGGTAAAAAAGGAACCAGCTAGTTCTAGTGATAAAGAGGATTCAGAGCAGGTGTAGATGGGCGTTTGAGCCCTGCATGTACAAAAGGGGAATTGAGCTAGAGTAGCCATGCTCACTGCAGCTTACACATATTAAACAACAAGAGCAATGGGCGTGCTGTGCGTACATGCCCTTGGTTATTTTGCCAACCACAGTGCAAAGCATCTCATTTTAAGATTCTGTGCACTATGCTCTGCCACATTGACATGTGCACATTGATGGCCTCTTAAGCATTCCTCACTGAATTACTAAATAAATAAACTTTCAACAATAGGATAATATTCAAGATTAAGCAGAGTCTTTTTTCATCTAAAGGTTTTACTCCACTACAAGCAGCTTCTACATTTGTATGTGGTAGATACTCCTTTTTTTGTATAAACCCTGAGTGAGAGAAAAATGACTCAGATAATGATAAGTTAAACAGCAACCTTGCAAAGCTGCCTGGTCATACATACTTTCTTTCTCTGTGTCACTCTCAGAGAGAAACACATGGGAGAGGAGGAGTGTGAAGGCCATTGCTGTTATACTTTATACTGGAGAGTAATGTTTTTTCATTTTTTAATGTATTCATACTACACCAGCATATGGAGGCTACTAATGCTTACCTAGCGTTTTGTCTTGACACTCCATGCATGCACTTGGTGTAATCAACCCCATTGCTGGAGCCTACTGTTAAAGAAGCTACTGTTGTATCATTTGTGCAAGGCCATCTAAAGGGTTTGAAATAAGCACTGTTGCCTCTTCAGTGCCCCACCGGGACTGATGTGACATGCCAATAGGCAATGGGGTTTATTGTATATAGCAACAAGTTTCTTTCCCCTTAACCCGACTCAACAGCACCAATGAGCCCATTGGCTTTCAAGCTTCCCCTAATTCACACATTAAAAATAAACAAATAACTCCATCCAGCACTGAACCCACACACTCTGAATACTCTGCTCCAGCACTGATCAATGAAATCAGCAGTGAAGGTGACCCATTTACTGCCTGTACTGCCAGTGCAAGAACCATCAGTCCAGTGTGAGCTCAGTGCTGAGTTTAGCTCCTATATAACCCCACACCTCCAACCTCGCCAGTGCCACCTAGAGGACAAACTGGCACACTGCACAATCTTCTTAAGATTTAGGGGTGCAGTGCTGGCATACAGATCTCCTTTGAGCTGCAGCTGTGGAAAGGATGGTGAGGAGCGCTTTCCACTCAAATCCCCAATATGTGCAGTGAGTGCACAGTGGATCCACTCCCCCTTGAGGCCTGTGTGCACTTCAAATGCTGCACATATTAGGGGCACACCAGTGGAGAGGAAGTATGGACCCTGCCGATGATGACCTCCCATTCTGAAGCTGCTTTGCTGTTGTGATTCAATAGGTTCAATACATTAAAAGTCATTACCCTCAAACAAGTATGCAGATTAGGAACCTAAACTTCCCTCTGACTTTGCTGATATAGATGATTGTTCCAGTTCTGGAACTCAGAAAGCATTAAAACTAATAAATCAACATGACAGACAGGCAGCAAGGAGAAAAAGCAACAGGTTTCATAAGGGGAACTAGAATCTCAGTAATGTTTCATAAAAATATAAAAGCAATCTTAAGATAGTTTACTGCATGAGTGTCATGTAAGCGAGTGTAGGTCATTCAGAATCTTTGCAAACCCATGAAAATGATGCCATTTGAATCATTCCTATACCCTGATATGACTGTTCTCAGCAGCATAGGCTTCCTTTGCTGCACCTACAGTAAAAATGGGGGGGGGGGGACACTGAAAGTTAAAAAGGCCATAGTGCATTGTTTGAAGGGGACATAGTGTGCATAATTATTATTATTATACAGGATTTATATAGCGCCAACAGTTTGCACATCGCTTTATGTGCACACATGCAGGCTTTGGCCACAACATGCACTTTTACACGATCTTAAACATTGCTGCTTGCAAATGCATAATATAATGACTACCCATACTTATGCTGCCTTATTTGCTCTGAGATGTATGGGTTATGGAGCATGAATTGTTTGCAGCTGCTTTTTTGCTGCATGCGCTTTTGCCACATGTGTCTATGGTATGTGTTTCATACCTTAGTGAGTAATTGTAGTACTAATATATCATATTTATTTCAATGCAGAATCTTTTGCCCACCTGCCCTGCATATAACACACATTATTTCTGTGTAAATGTGAACCTCCTCTCATTAGTTCCCATTCACACCTAGATGTTTTGGGAACAGGTGTTAATCGCACATAAAAATAAGCACTTTAATGCGTGTTCCCAAATTGCACACAAATGTGAAACGCGCTTGCACTCCAAATGCAACCAGGAAATCCCACGTCTTCTACACGTGTTAAAACGTGCACAAACACGTGAGTAAAAACGCAAGGTGCAAGACGCAGATTTTTCTACATGAGCTTCTTTTTTGCATTTGTCACATATACAGTAACCCATTGAAGTCAATGGGGACACCAAAAGAAACACCAACAAACGCGCACAACCACGACATGCATCCCTGGTATGGTACGCCTATGTGTGGATTGAGACTTAGTGCAAACTCGTAACCCAAGCTTGCCAATCATCTTCATAGCAATTTATCCCTGCTGTTGTGCATTTTCTCTGCTCTGAGAAAATCGAACCCCATGTCAGGGCTGGAAGTTGGGAACAGCAGTTTTGTTTTGTTTTTTCCTGGCAAGAAACTAAAATCCAGTATTGTATCATCAAATGTTGCAGAGGTTGCTGTTGACACTGTACCCCTTGTGACGCTTCCAGTCAAGAACAGCTGATGTCAGGCACACATGAGACTTGTTTTTATTAGCCACACATCCCCTTTTGCAAGCTGTCCAGGAGGAAGAATTTGTTTAGCTGTCTTAGTAGTGTAGATTTATTGCCCTCAATGCTTCTTGTTATCCTGTCCACCACTGAAACTAACTAGGCATCCCTAATGCAGTCTTCCTAACACGGCTATTGACTAAAGGGTGAAGCGTTTGGGGAAGGCAGGAGAAGTGAACAATCTAGGACAACATAGCTGAACTGGAAATTGGAAAATTTAACTGAATTGGAGACATTTTCCAAATCAGTTATGTTGTCCTAGATTGTTCACTTCATCTGCCTTCTCCAAAATCTTCACCCTTTAGTGAATAGCCCTGTAAGTGTGTCTTCTCAGCTTGAAAGCTGACTGTCATTCTGCACTTAAAGATTTATGTATTAGGGTCATGATATAAAATGTAATTGTAATTATTATTGCTACAAGTCTCTTTTTCTGTTAGGTTTCTTTTCTTTTTACGGACTATTAGACCACCTTGGAAGGGTTGAAAGGAGTTTAGAATTTAAACGAGGCTCTGAGATCTGAGATGCTGATTTGGGAGCTGCTGAAAAGTTGCAATGATGCCCGCTCTTCCCTGAAGTGTCTATCCACAGCACTTCCTTGGTGTGGATATACTTTATCAATGACAGTAGGGAGGTCGCCAGGGGGCACATTAACATTTTTTATATGGTGCCCCATGATCTGTATTTACGCCCCTGCTGCCAGCAACAACTTGATCTGTCAGTCACCATATAGCGAACACAGCAGTTCCCAGCAGGTGTATCTGCTAAGTGCATTTAGGATTCTAGTGATTCATAGTGTCACCACTCTCCATGCTGCAGTTCCACTTTAATGTTTACCTAATGGTAAAACTTTTTTAAAGTTTTGGATGAAGTGCCGAAGTGTTAAAACCCCTGTCAGGGGTTAATACTGTCTGTCATATGAATGGGGAGATTCACTGTCTTTGTGTTTCCTGTTGACCATTGTCAGCGGAACAGAAAGTGTGGGGAAGTATGACATTTTACAGCTGTCACCAGAGCAGGCATCTCTAGAGGGCAAAATATTGCAATTAATACAGCAGTTCTACTGACCGCTATCTAAAAGGGGATTTTTCCTCACTTTGAGGAGATTTCCTCTCCCTCTTGTTGTGTTTCTGGAACAGGAAGCTAATGAAAATCTCCCCAATTGGGACAGGAGTTCTTACTATTTCCTACTGTTTCCACAACTAAACAAAATGTTTTTAATACCATTAAAAAAAATCATCAATTTTTCAGAAAATTGTAGGGCAGCGTGGTGGCTGAAAAGGTAACAATTTTTGCAGCGGTGGTTTCAGGATTTGAATTCTACAAAGGACCCAATCTGCGTTGAGTTTGTATTTTCTATGTCTTTGATTTCTGTGGAATAAATCTCAGCACTGTGTGAATAAGTAAAATAAGTTGATTGTTGCACACCCTTAATGGATTTATCCTTTTTTTTCAGATATCAACATGGCAGGTGAACCAAAACCATACAGACCAAAACTGGGAAGTAAAAGACCTATTTCATCTTTATACAGGTATCAATATTTAATCAATAATGTTTTGTATATTTACTTGTGGAAAGTTTTCTCTCTGAAAATATTTAGGCAGCTGACACAATTTACATTGTCTCATGGCAACTCATTCAGCTTTTCAGATACCAACCGGCATTTTCCATCCCACGTTTGGCTGTTTTTTGCCCATATAGATGTTGGGATCCAGGAAAGGACTGGGAGTTATAATGCTGTTATATAAGTAAAGTAGATATAAACTCTAACTGAATGGCATTTAGTTGCCTAAAGCACTCTTTATCTTAAAGTGATATTAAACCCTAATGCAAAAAAAAAATGAATATAGTGCTGCAGACCTCAGCACTTATGATGTATGCGTGCCTGTTTTTTTTAAAATTCTGTAAGTGCTTTCATTTCCTCTTCTGAAAATCACCTCTCCCCTGGTTGCTGTTTTTAGGTAACTCCATCCCCTTACATGGTCCCATAGAGTCACCTTTGCATGCACGCTCCTTGCTGGCACCATGAACGAGTCTCCTTACGTCCATAGAAACAGCCTCAGTGGTAAGCCACCCCCCGGATCCTCCCCCCGCACCCTAGTATACTGCACAGTAACAGTACAAAGGGCTCTCGCTTCCCTGCTCGGAGCTTCGGGGAACCAGTGCTCTGCAACCTGGAGCCGGCGGTGGTGAAGAGCACAAAATGTAAGTGCTTCTGCCCATCAATAAAGCAAAAAATGTACTGGGGGATGTTTAACTGCCTGCTTGGAATGCATCCAGTTAAAAAACTTCAGTGTTTAATACTACGTTTAACATTTGCCATTGCCACATATTTAAAAATAAAATATTGTTTTTCCTTTTTTATTCTTTGTTGCATCTCATTGCTGTAGATCTCCTACAGCCTTTTTACAGCCACAATGAGGGGAATTCAAAAAAAGTGTAATTGAGAAGCATAACAAAAATGTCTCAGGGTTACATTAATAGTGTCATTATTTGCACCAAATCCATGTACAAGGCTGCATAGCATTTATGAAGTTGGTGAAAACCTATAAAATTGGGGCTGGCTTACCAGACAAATATATAAACACTGATAAAGTACATGGATGTATCTTATCTTTATCCAAAGTGTTACATATGTGTCTGAGATAGATTTCAGTTGGATAGAGACTAAAGTACATAGATGTATCTCATCTCTCTGCAACAGACTAGTTTTGTCAAAAAATACTTGGTCTTACTTTGCATCACTTTTCTTTTTACCAAACTCTGCGAGGGGAATTTATCAAAACTGGAGCAGACAGAATCTAGAGTAGTTGTGCATGTTGACCAATCAGCTTCTTTCTTTCAAATCTTAACTGAAACGGAAGAGAGAAACTGGTTGGTTGCTATGGGCAACTGCTCCAGATTCTGTCTGCTCTAATTTTGATAAATTCCCCTCTCTGAGTTTCTCAATTGAAAATATTGCAAGAATGAAATATGGCGCAAATAACAACTACTTAAATTTGGTGCTGAGTCGGTAGAGATCCTGAAAATGGTGAAGCATGTTTTTTAATTTGTTGCAGGCATTTTCTACCCTGCATTAGCTCTAGAATTTTGGCGCCAATGTGGTATTGAATTTCACAAATTTTGTCATGGCGTGTAACCTAATGATAACTATACTGACCATACCTACCTGTTAATCAGCCACTAGAAGTCTCTTATAGAAGCCTGTGTAACAGGGCGGCAACACAGGTGCACCATTGGGAGACATAAACAGAGTGCTAACCCTCTATAACAATTTAGCAAGTATTGAAATTCCATTAACATATTAAAGCTTACATGAGATTTTAGTTATTGTGTTTCTACATAGTTTAATGGAAAAAAAAGTCAGGTGAATTATAAAAATCAAACGTAAACAGATGGAAGTGGAGTGGACAGTGTCATTGTATTGCCCCATGTTTTTTGCTATAATTATGTAAATCCAACTATAACTGGTCTTCAACTCTCAACTGTAGCAGTGCTACATCTATGTAATGTCTTAATATTCATCAACAATGTATACAATGGTTCTGCACCATGATCTTCCACTGCTCGAGCAAATTAATTGAAGAACACTTTTGGAAAGTGAAGTGCTGCAGTTTAATAGTCTAATTTACATGTAGGCCTTGAATATTACTTGAAATGTAATATCCATCAATTAAATGTCTCCGCGTGATTATGGCGCTTCCTGAAAGCTCTAATACATTTTCTTTTCAGCAGCCTTTGAGCTATAAGATGTGTCACTGCCGATTAGCTTCTGACTGTGAGGACAGCCATCAATGGTGCTGAACCTAAAGAGCAACTGATTAGTCTTGAGAGAAAGTGACAGAATCAGCCTCTACCCGAGACATTTATGCTTTTGTTTTTAACACTTGCTATAATTGAAAATGGCACCAAATTTACTTTCAGTAAGCTTGATGCCAAATTACATTGTGATGACTGACCGGGAACCCTAAATTCAATATATAGTATGTGTCAATACAGCTAAAGGATCCATTCTGAGGAATTCTTAGCAAAGGAAAATTTTCAGAACAAAAAGTATATTTTTTCATTTTCAGCGCTAGGTTTATAAAGAATCACATATACTTGATGATTTTACCAAGACTGTTTTGATTTTCAGACTCAGCAGGGAGTCACTAACACAAGAAACTGGTTAAAGTGACACTAAACTCAAGAGTTAAACCTTAAAAATGCATTCCAGTTAACCATTAACAAATGTATCGTATTTGTGTATCACTCGGCTGTAGATCCTCAAATCATCTCTGAATTGGTGCTGACACTGTCCTTCCTTCTGGAGGGTGGCTACTTTTGTTCCTTATGGTCCCTGTGTGTGTTCTAAAGTAGCCACCACTCCAAGCTCACTCCTGTGATGGACTATAACAGAGATGATTTGTGGATCTACAGCTGAGTAATACACAAATAAGCTACTTTTTTGTTAATAGTTAAGGTACTTGAATGCATTTTTATGGTTTAACTCCTGAATTTACTGTCACTTTAACTAAAATCCCTGTTTGCGCAAAGAAAATGTACAGTATACTATTTTGTTTATTTTTTGTTTTTGGTTTTTATATGTTACTGTATAGTAACAGCAGGTGCAATCTCTATGATCTCTTGCACAATCTTACAGCGGTTGTGCTTCACACATCTAGCAGTGACCTGTGTTGTACCGCACCAGAACAATGCAGGTCACCACTAGGACACATAGAAAACAATTGCTTTCTATGAGTCCCATTCACAGCACAATGTGGGAGTGATGGGAGGGGCACTGGAATAAAATGCTTCATTTTATCGTAGTTCAGTGGACCCCAGCACAGCTCAACTCACAGTAGCGCAGCAAATCACGTAGCCATGGGGGGACCTAAATAGAGGGTTTTTAACTACATAAAGTTAAAAAAAAAATTCACAGTGACAGCTAAGGCCTGTGTGAGACAACGCACACTATCGATGCTGTCACGCCACACTAGCCCATCTGCTAAAACACAGCGTTTCAACAGATGGGCAAGTGTGAACGGGCCCTGAATAATTCAGAAGAGTCCCTTCCCCTTTCATCTTGCTGTTTTCTCAGTACTGATTCCCTACTTTAGTTGGTTCGTTCAATAGCTACACATATTTCATATTTAATTCAACAAACAGTGCTATAAGATTGTTTTATCTAATCAGAACACAATTCTGCTCTCTGCGATGGCAAGTGATTTAAAAATACTATCTGAGAACTACACTCTCAGCTCCTCACAACTGCCATCTATTCTTCTAATTTCTGATGGACACAAGAAGAGGTTTCCCTGTTGAGGGTAGGTTAGCGCAGCCCCGCATTAGTCTGTACTCGGTACAGCTGGAGGTGCCCCCTTTCCTGCTATTCGTAAGGTTCATTGGGCAGCATTCCTGCTTTATGAATGTGTGCACAATATGAATGTGAAGTACAATACAACACTGTGGCACCCCTACATCATACCCCATCGCTCGTTTGATTGGTTGGGGTTGGCTCGGTGACATCCCCTAGAGGGTCAACAAAAAGCTGTTGCTGTTGATAGCTGCAGATCTCATTCACCATTGAAACTGTAAAGAAATGCTAAGAGGGATTTATGAGAGCCAGTGACCCTACTCCATCAGATTTCACATACTCTGCAAATTAATTAGACTCTGCACAATACCAAAAAACAGGTAAACTTTTCTGCAAATATTTTCTTACAATGTATTTCTTTTCTTTCATTAATACGATATTTTAAAATTGTTAAAGTCCAGGATTTTCAAAAGTTAACCCTTATACCGGGGCTATACCCCCATACTGCAAGGGTTAACTGCTCCTTTTGGTCTAGGGAACAGAATAAAGAAGATACAATCACCTGGTCCTCAGTCAGAGGTGAGCACAGTCAGTGCTCACCTCTCCCCCCCCCCCCCCCCC